TAAAACCAGTTACCAGTTAGTCTGATGGAGTCAGTTCTGACTCCTGCTGACCCGTGTCGCAGTAGAATTTTTCGGAGTACATAGCTGATTTTTTTTGGAGTAAGATCACCACGCCTTTCTTCTGAGGCACCAGCGGATGGACCCGAGCTTCCAACCTTTAGGTCAGCCGCCTAGTTGGCCATTGATACCAACACAGGAACTCCAGCCCAAGAAACCAAACAGCCACGGCCATTCCGACCCGTGGCAACCGTATAAAGAGTTTCCGAGGCTGTCCATCGTCCCCGGAGCAGACAGCCTCATTCCTGACGAGCCATGCTGCTGGCAGGTGTGAACCACCAACCCCGAGGTGAGCAAGCAGCCCAAGGGCGACCCAGGGCCAAAGGGAGGGAGCTGGGCCACGTGCTTCCCAGAGGAACACACAGCGGGAGTGATGGCAGTGGGTGCCAGGTGGCCACAGCCCAAGTCCAGGCCCGCCCCGGGAGGCGGGAACACGCGCCAGCAAGGGCAGCAGGTGGGCGGGCGCGAGGTGCCAGGTGACGCAGCGCCGGGCAGGACGTCCTGATGACGCACTGCGGCGGAGGCCGCGGCCACCCGGAAGGGGAGGAGCCTCCCGGGGCGCGGCCCGCCCACCTCCGCCGGAAGTGAGGGTCCGCTCAGGCCCTGCCGCCGCCTCTACAGGCCCGCGCCTCTGAGCGCTCCCCTTACTGCCCAAGTTGGCCCGAAAGGGGGTTCGCGGATTCTCGAAGCCTGGGGCGCCCCCACACCTGCGGTTCCTTGGCCCCTCCGGGCTCCCGCTCCTCGGGAGCCCCCCACCCCGACCCCCGGGGCACCGAACGGAACCGACTGGATCTCAGATGCAGACCCCCGCCCCAGAAGCCCCTGGGTGCTTGTGTGCTGGGTCACGTGAGGGTTGGGTGTGGCAGGTCTAGGCGGCTCTTGGTTTGGCGACTCGCTGTGAAATGAGTCTTCTGCGCACCCCAAGATCCCAGCCCTGGGTTTGCAGCGGGGGAGGGGCGCCCAAGGAACAGAAAGCCCAGGGAAGCGGCTCTGGGACACCCGTTGTCCGCACTGGACAAAATGTCCTGTCGACGAGCCTAGCCTAGGAGTCAGGATGAATCGGGGGTTCCTCTGGAGAGAGGAGCGTGTCCCAGGCCCAGGACTTGGTGCCCGGGAGGGGAGAGAGAGAGAGATGTGGGCCCCTGGGAGAGGGAACTCTACTTCCAACCCCAGCCCCCTCTCCGGGTGAGCTCTCCACCCCTTACCAGACCTTACTGATCCTACTGGTTCCTCCAAGCTGCTGCAGGCTTGTCCTGGGAGGGCCATGGCTTTCCCTCGGCCCCCAGGACAGGTGCGCTTGGGGCCCGCAGCTCTCCCAGGCGACCAACCTCCACCATGACCTGCGAGCAGCCCTGGGCTCACTTTTAGCCAAATATAGATCTGGTTGGTTCAAGAAATTCCGCGTCTATTTCTGCAAGCTCTTGACAGAAGGTAGCAGCAGGATTGAAAGTTCCCAAAAGGGCTCAAACATTCAGTGAAAAGCAAACAAGTTCTATTGAGGAAGCGATTAATTGGCTTGTTACAACACAGAACGCCCATGAGTCTAGGGGGCAGGTCCACAGAAAGGGGAGGCATCCTGCCACCCCTCAAGGGATCAGGGTCCACCTATCTAAACGACCTTGCCTGTCCAGACGGTTCTGTTTGTCCAGACAGGCTGGATGAGAACATTCTTAAGTTTAAAAGGGGATTTTACTGCAAGGTGTCATAGTTGTTAACATTTGGGTTTTTCGGCAAACCAAGTCTTAGACCAAATCTCAAACTGCCACGTGTCCAGCGTTGATTAATAGCAGGCTCACTCTCCCTGTTCCTCCCATTGTATCCCTTCCCCACCCCTCACAGTGCCCCTCTCCTGCCCCACCCTCTCATTCACTATTCATGTGCTGTTCCTTTGCATCCAGCCTGACCTCTCCAGCACATAACTCCAGTACCAGCTGTCTGGGATGCCCTGCTTGACCCTCTAAGGAAGGTCGATCAGAGCTCCGCCTACCTCTCCTCTTCCCTTCTGACCACCTACAGGCTAGAAATCATTGTATGAATGAAGCCCACGGAAACAAGCTTTGCATTGAGTAGGTCCTCATGTTTGTGCCTGTCACAATGAGTGAATGCCCATGTGTATAGGGGGCAGGGTCTCAAAAAACCTAGTCTGGCCTTTCCAGTGTGGGGGTAGGCATTCTTGCTGCAAGGGTCTTGAGAGTGAGGGTCAGCAGGGGCCTTGGAACTTTTGGGTAGGTCACTTGGCCTGGAGGCAACCAGATGTCTGGCTGTTGGGAGTGGTGTGGTGCTGGGCCAGAGTTGGTGGATGGGATTTGTGCCCTGAGGGTTCTGCCCAACCTCCAGCCTTCAGGTGGGGAGGAGATGGAGCTGCTATGGAAACTGGTATAGCCCTACTTACTCCCCCCTCTCCCCAGGCCACTGGGTGCAGTAGTGAAGAGGATGCTGGGACTACAAAGGTGTTCCCCATGGGAGGGGGCCGGAAGGGCCTCTCCTCCCTGAAGTCCAGGTAGCCCAAGGATCCCCACTACTGCATTTCCTCCTGGCCACCTCCTGATGCCCATGTCCAGCAGTCTGACCTGGAGGGAGGCACGGGGTGGGTGCTTTTTCATTTTGCCCATAAGGAAGAAACATTTCAATTCCTCAAGCAAAGCAAACAGCTGACTGGCACTCCGTGGGCAAATTTCTCACACGGGGATTCCTCTCAATGTGTGACAGCTGGCATCCAGCAGTCCTAAGGCATGTCAATGGGCAGAGAGAGGCCGGCTGTCAAGGAAGGTACTTTCTGGGGCCCTGGTTCAAAACACCAAACTCACTGCCGTCAATCCCAACTCATAGTGATGGTTCAGGGCCCAGTGGACCGATCCCGGTGGGCCTCCAAGACTAACCTTTTAAGAGAGAAGAAAGCCTAATCCTCCCCACCCCAACCCCACACACCCAATGTGTAACCCACTATCTAGACCAGGGACAGGCTCTAGAAACAGAGAGATGGATGGGCTGAGTGTCCCCGTGTGTGGGTTTAATAGCTTGTGATTTGATTTTTAAACTGGATCATTTTGATGCCATCTATGATGTAGTCTAGCATTTTTAAAATAAGGGGGACAGACTCAGGGCAGATCAAGCTTCTAAATCTAAATTAGCTGTTTACAGGAACAGCAGAGGGGACAGATTAGCCTGTTACACCAGACTGCAGGGATGTATCAGCAAAATCTAGATCGTGGAAAATTTACAGGCAAACCAGTCAGTCAGCAAATAAAGTGTAGGGGGAGATAGGGAAGGGAAGTGTGGGTTTTTTAGAATCGTAAGGGACATAATTAACCAGAGGAAAAGTGTGAACTCTGTTTAGATCTGGATTTGAACAAACCCACTATGTATAATTTATACATATCTTTTAAAAATACTTGTATTGGGGGCTCTTACATCTCTTATCACAATCCATACATTCCTTCAATGTGTCAAGCACATTTGCACATATGCTGCCATCAATATCTTTTAAAAATACTTGTATTGGGGGCTCTTACATCTCTTATCACAATCCATACATTCCTTCAATGTGTCAAGCACATTTGCACATATGCCGCCATCATCATTTTCTATTTCTTTTGCCATCATCATTTTCAAAGCATTCTCTTCTCACATATTTTTTAATAAGAAACAAGATGAAGAAAAAAAAAGAAACGGTTTTTTTCAGATGTGAAAATAAATGCTAATGTGGATTTTAAACCTTTTTTTTAATGGATGAAGTGATAAGGTGCTTGGGATTTGCTTTAAAATAAATACAGAATATGAGAACGTTCATGATTTTTTATTTTAAAAACAGGTGCCTGGGTAAATAATCACTGATGTTGTTTAATTAAATTGTCCTGATTCCTTTTATATTGTTTGGAATTTTTCCATAATAAAACTTAAAAACAAAACAAAAGTGGGTGTATTTAAGCCAACTTCTTCCAAATATGGGCATGAAAGTAAAATAACTGTCATTCACCATGACTTAAGAAAAAAGGACATTCTGATCTCAACAGCAGTGGGAGGGCTCAATCTCTGAAGAAAGGACATTTTAAAAATAGAATGTATGTTCTGAACAGGTTAAAAAACAATAGGCCTAGTGTTCTCTACCACCGGCCTGGAACTGGTCTGAGCATCTCAGTTGTACATGCTCCACCTTAACCTTTGTTTTGTTGACGGCTGAGATGGACCCTAATCGGCAGGCCCTTCCTTCCTTTGTGGCTGTGTTGTTCCGCTCTGCCTCAGGGAATCTTAGCGTTCCCTGGCAGCTTCTCAGTGCCCCAAACTCACTGGATTTGACCCAAGAGTCCCTCAGACAGAGAAAGATGAGGCTTCCTCTTCCCCTAAAGGGCTAAACAGCCTCTGAAACTCAGAGGGGCAGTTCTGGTTTATCCTAGGGACAGCCCCTCAACGGCAGAGATAGAAGGCCCTCAGAGATCGCTTCACCTCTTAGTTTTTACAGACGGAAAAACTGCCACCAAGGGAGGAAAGAAAGGTGACTGACTGGACACAGACCCCACAGGAGAAATCGGGAATGTCTCGATTCCTAATCCAGGGTTCCTTGCACCCACTGTTTTACCTGCCCGATGTCTCCATCTTTAGTTTACCCTGTGCCTGGTGTCCTAGTGGGTTGGTTACATGATTGACAGCCTCGGAAACCCACAGAGGCCCTTCTACTCTGTCCTGTAGGGTCGCTATGAGTTGGGATGTTTGATGGCACTGCGTCTGAGGTTGCTGTTGTTGTGTTAGTGGAGAAGGACCTCAGAGTTGGCAGTGAAAAAGAGGAAGGCACTCATCAAGGAGAAGGGGGGCACAGTGGCTGCAACATTGGGCTCAAGCACAGGAACAGCTGTGAGGATGACCTTGCCCCTTGCTGGCTGTGTGACCTTGAGCACACCCAGGGCTCTGGGCCTCAGTTTCGTCATCTGTAAAATGGGGTGGTTGTGAAGCCTGAGCTGACACGTGTAAAAATGCTCAGAGTAGGGCAGCTGCAGGGATGACAAGTGCCACAGATTGATGGTGGCCAGCAGGCTGACCTTTCATGCCAGGTCACGGGATACCAGAGCTGCAATGGGCCCCTTACAGTCATGCAGGAGGAATCCTTCGACGGCAAGAGAGAAATGGGAGGGCGCATGGACTGCCAACGGTCCCAGAAGACAAGTCGTGACTGAACAGGAATCACACCCCAAAGGACTCTGGACTTCACTGAATAAGCAGGAGACGCCCCTATCCCCACCCTGCCTCTGAGAGTCGGTCTGCCATCAACTGGGTGTCCAAGCTGATTAATTAAAGACAAGTCCACAGAGCTGGCCGGTTTACAACAGGCATTTGCAAACTTGGCCCAGTCAACCGCTCCCAACAAACCCCAGAGGGTAGGCAGGTAGTTCTGGAATGAACACTCTGTGTCACAGAGGAAACGCCGGCCCCCAGAGGTGAGATGGCAACCAAGGTCATAGAGGGTTGTTAGTCGTTCGCACTGAGTAGATTCTGACTCATGGTGACACCCTAGAGAGAGGATCAGAATCCTGTTTTAGGGTATAAAAGAGACACCGGCCCCCCCGCCCCCCACCAGTCTCCAAGGTTATTTAAAGGAGACCATTTAAATGGGTCCACGACAAGCAAAGCCATGTCATCCACATGAGGGAGACCATGAGCCCCGGTCACCGTGGCGTCCATGGGCTCACAGTCTGGCAGCTACTTACCCCTAGGTGTGACACGCAAATTCATGAGGGGTGCCAAGTCAGGACCCACCGTCGCAGATGGGACTGAGGGAGCAGCAACAGAACCGTGACTGGGACAGACATCGTGTTAGAAGAATCAGGACTGGCCCAGGTCCTTCCAGCTGAGGCAGTCGGGGCATGAGCGGGAGCGCCTGACTCGGGACTAGGGGACCCCCAGTATGCAGATTCCCATCAAGGACACAAGCCCCTGAGAGAGCCTGCCCTTCCCTGCCTGGCTGGCGAGGGGTGAGGGGCATCCACTTTGCCCTGCTCTGCCCTGGTTACTGGTCAGCAGGCATTCAATGGAGGCTTTAATCCACTGGGAGGCTGCCTGTGGATTGGGGGTCTCTGGGGTCACCCTAAGCCTTTTGCAAACCTGGTGTTGAGAGTTCAGGCTCTAACCCAGTCCAGAGAAGTGAGTTCACCTGCAGAGGGAGAGGGGCTGACACCTCCTTTCTGCCTTTGGAAAAGTACTTCCCTACCAAAGGGGTCCATCCCTAACTCCGGAGGTCGGAAAGGCAGGCAGTTGCTATGGCAACATCTCGGGCAGCCTATTTTCCTCCTCCTCAGGTTCAAAACAACAGCTTCCAGCAGGCTCGGCAGGGCGGGGAGGAGGAAAGTCTAACGCCAACCCCGCCGTGACTGCACTCAGCCAATCTCCTGCCAGCCTTCAGTGGCCAGAGGAAGGTGGTGGCCAATGAGGAGGGCCAGCGTCCATCCGTGTCCTTCTGGGAGCTCAGTGGGAATAACCAGAAGGCAGGCGCAGCACGTGACTGTTTCCATGGCGACCTCCCTCTCAGCCCTGCCGGGCCCTGCTTGTGAGCCCTGGAAAATTCCACCCAGCTGCTGGGCTGATTTTTTAAAAAACCTTCTCTTTCTTCCTGTGTTGAGGCGGGTGGGGGTGGGGGTGTCAAGTTCTGGCCTGCGCTTAGGCCTGAGCGCTTCCGGAGACTTGGGGTTGGGGTGCAGCCCAGTTCCATCCTGGCTGACCCGCAAGGGTCCAAATCCGGGGAGGGAGCCTTTGGGCGCAGCCAGTTCAATAGGGGTTCACAGCTGTCCACTGTGAGGGGTCACGCACGTGGAGGGCTGGGCGAAGGACAGTGACAACCACCCTTTCTTTAGTGGACATCCACTTTGAGCCAAGCAGTGACTCAGCTTCCTGGTACATCTGCCGCCCCTGAGGGGGGCGATTGGGGTGCAGCCCGGGGAGTCCTTGAGGCCTGAACAGACCAGAGAGGTTAGGTACCTTGCCAGGGTCACAGCACAGTCTCAGCATGGAGGAGACCCCAGGGGGTGGGTGAGCCCCAAAGCTGGGGGCCAGGGGGCGTGGACAGAGAGCCCTGGTGTTCAGCAGAGCTGAAGCAAGGCTTCAGAAGGACAGGGAGCAAAAGGTAACACTTGGGATGAGTGGATGTTTTTTCAAGGAGGGAAAAGGGGCTCCAGGATCCCGAGCAGAGGGCTGGGGCACCACATGGGGCGGCTGAGACCAGGGCCCTGGGCCTTATCAGTCTTTGGAGCTGGCCTGGTCAGAAGTTTAACTGGGGTTGGGGGAGAGGGGGAGGTCCAACCAGCCTTCCTCCAGCCTGGGGACCTGGGTGGGGTTGGCCTCTCAGCTGACCCGGTCCTCCCGGGCCTGGTGGTTCCCTATGGATGCTCCAGGGGCCTGAGGAACCCCGCCCTGGCTGAGGTGGGGCTGGAAGAAGACATGACACTGTTTTCTTGCTAATCGTTTTATTAGGGGCTCGTACACCTCGTATCACAATCCATACATACATCAAGTGTGTAAAGCACATTTGTACATTCATTGTCCTCGTGACACTGTTTTCAAAGTGGTTATGTGATGGCGACAGTAAAAGTCACACGTCATAGTCCAAGGTAGCAGAGGAGTTGCTGTGGGGTGACTATGATTATAATATGCCCCAGGGAGTCTGCCCAGTGGACTGGCCATTTAGGGGTGGTGGGGCGCCTCAGGTGAGCCCCTGAAGGCAGGCTCCCACCCACCAGCAGCGAGAAGTGGCAAGTCTTTGAGAGAGAGCTGGGGGAATGACCATGTCACCAGAGTGCAGGGGCAGAAGGTGACCAGCAAGCAGTGAGCGGGGTTAGCCAGACTGGCCTTTAACCCAGCTCAGAAGTCCTGGAATCCCAGCCCGGAGGAAGCCTCTGAGCAGGACTTGAAGGCCCTCCCACCCTGCAGCCCAGGAGGCGCGACAGAGGGCCCACAGCAGGGCCCAGACTGGGGAAGGGCTGTGACCAGGTGGGATTCAGCTGGTTCACACAGGTCCGGCACGACCGATACCAAATGTTTCTGTTGAATTCGGCAAATGATTGTTAAAATTGATTGGTCTGAGCTGAAGCAGGTTAGGGCCCCGCTTCCCTGAATGTCCCTGAAGGTCAGCAGCTGCCCCCCTGAAATGAGACAGATGAACAATCCCTGTAATGTCTGACTCCCTGAGAACCGGTCAGCCTGCCTGCCAGAGCTGATCAACTGCATCCTGGGCCATAAACCTTGCTGCTGCAGCATGGACACCCTCTCCCGGCTTTCCTGTAAAAACCCCAGACCCTGGGCTACTTGCTAGACCACGGGGCTTCGCCCAGGAGCTCCCCCTAATAAAGCTATTTCTGTTTCTGCTCTCCCTCTGTAAGCAGCAGACTCCATGACAGGCTGAGCCTTTTAGAACAGGCCTGTTTCATTTTTTCCTCTTTCCTCCAGCTTTAAGTTTCCTTTCTCTAACAGCCTTGAGTTTCACTCCCCTAACAAAGCCGCCCTCTCCCCCAAAATGACACTGACCACACCTGCCAAGGCCCAGTGATCACAATGGTGCTGACCACACCTGCCAAGGCCCAGTGATCACAATGGTGCTGACCACACTTGGAAAAGTTCTGAGTGAACACAATTGGAACATTCCGAGAGGAGAGTGGAGCCAGTCAACCAACAAGACCTGCACAACCGATTGTCTCCAGATGAAGTCATTGAACTATGGGAGGGTGAGGGGAAATAGTCTCACCCAGGGGGGATAGCTTCACCCAGTTTATGTAACCTATAGAGAGTATAAAAGCTTGGCTTATGCCCCAGGCCGGGGTCCTTGTCTTTGGTGACCACTGCGTTGGTGCCTTAGCACTTGGGCCCTAGCTCGAGCTAGTCAATAAACTCCTTTGTGGTTTGCAGCCTCGGTGACTCTGCCTCTCTGTTCCTGGGGCCACGGGAAAGCCGGCAGTAACACCTTTGTCCGTCTCCCTGTACCTCAGTCTACCTCTCAAAAATGGCACTTGTAATCAGGGCTCTCTCTGAGGTGGAAATCATGAATTTGGATCCTTTCCTCTCTTACCATTCATCTACGCCACGGTTTCTATTCTAAGCCCTGTCTTGCACATCATCTAGTTTTGTGCACTTCTTTTATTCTGAGTTAAGTGTTCATATTCACTGGATGAAATAATAAGCTAGCTTTCGGTCATAGGCCTGCGAACCAGTTGTGGAAATTACTGACTCACCACTGGCTGTGACCATGGCGCTGAGGAAGCAGCAAGGACACCGAGGGTAGGGAAGGTGGCCCACTGCGACCTGGGCTTTCTCTAGCCGTCCTTGGGCCTCTGCTGCAGTCTAAGCACAACAGTCATGGAAATTTCCATCCGCCAACTCTCAGTTCTCAGCTCGCCCTGCAGGGTAGAAAGATCTTTTGATTATATCGGTGGAAGACAAGAGGCCTAGGGCAGCCTCGGTGGCGTCCGGCCGGTAGTCCCAGAAAGGTCGTCCCAGACAGAGAGGGAGGAAGGGGCATGTCAGAACCTCGGGAGTCCCTGAGCTGAGCTGTGCCTCCAGCCCTCCTGCCCCGAGCCCGGGGAAGGCACCTCCACGCAGCAGGTGGGCTCCAGAGGGAGGAGGAAGCTCATTCCTGCCCTGCTCCAGCTACCCGAGCTGCCGGGCAGGGTGTGCCCTGGTGGAAACTGGGTACTAGGCTGGCATGGTAAGGAGTTAGACCCTGACCTCGCCCCTCTCCTGCCTCTGGAGGACCCCCTAGCAGTCTTGAGTGTGGGGCCGTTTCCTTTGTGCTGGGGGAGAAAAGCGCTCCAAATTCAAATATCATGCCCAAAGACCCATTTATGAAGTCTCTCCCCCCCACCCCCATTGATTAAGTCTCCGGCAGGCCAAAGACAAAACACGGGCCGGCAGCAGGAGGTCATGACGGTGTCCAAGGAGTCACAGAAAATCGGCCACTTCAATAGCACACGGAGAACAGACTCATTAACTCACCATGGGGGCACATGGACTCAACCTGGTTGTAAGCAAGCCTAGAGGATTGGGAAAGAGACCAGGGTCAGGAAGGGGTACAGCACTGTAGGTTAGAAGAGTTTTAAAGATTGATCCAGGGCCCTCTGACAGAGGCAGTCAGGGTATGACTCCTGAGCATGTGACCTTGTGTGATTCTAAGTGGCATTAATTCATTTTCAACTGATGGGGACCCCCTGGGCACAACACACCTCCGCCAGCTTCATCCTTGTTACGTGCCAGCCCGTTGTAGCAGCCATTGTGCCGATTGGGTCTTCCCGATCCTAGCTCTCCAATTTCCATCCAGGGCGCACCCAGGCATGTCCCTGAGGGTGAGGCTGCCCTGGGCTGGCTGTGACTGGTAGTAATCCACTTTTCAAACACACCTGGCCTGAGACCCAAGCTTCTCATGTTGTTGGCGAGTGGTCAGAAGGAGTTCGATGGAGGCTGAGTGTATGTGCGGACTCAAAAACTGGATTTGGGGCTCTCACCGTAAACCCCAGGCTTCTGCAAACCCAGCGCTCAGAATCGCGCTCTCCTGAGGCTCCCTTCCGATGTAAGGGGCCTTGC